CCCCAGGGGGGTTCCCAGGGGACGGTACTGAAGTGGCCAAATGCAACAACCGTATGAAACACAGCACATTGAAATGGCTGCTGAAATAAATAAAATACATATAAAACTTACTGAGGTTTTTTTATATATAAACAGTAGAGGTTTTGGAGAAAAACATGTTAATATATTACCTTGGTTACAGTATCATAATTTATTACAACATATCGTATCACAAASCCTGTGCCATGATCTGTGTCATGTCACCAAATCTTTGCCAAAACTCAACCCTGACAGCTTTTCTCTTAATAAAAGATCAGGATGTCGTAATTATTGCAACTTTTGTTGTAACTGTGACACATTTTCTCACRATTACAAGATCAGGACCTGCTAATTAAGACATGTTGTGATGAGATGAGGATCTCCTAATTCTAAAATAAGGAGTGTATTTTTTTTTTTTTTGGTGAATGCAATGCTCTTCTGTGTTTCAGAGAAACCAGACATGAGTGCAGTTAGTCTGAACAAAACCAGACAAACTGATTTTAGGTTTAAATGCTTAAAAACAAATCATTTGGTGACTGCAGCAGAAGCAGACGTTGGTCTACATTAAGGATTTTAAAGACTCAGCAAGCAGCTGTTAAACATAATAACTTATTAAATGTCTTTATCCAACAAACCAACATGTAAAATCACAGACATGAAGCCACTCAAACTGGTCCAGGAARTGTTTGTGAGTCAGAGTTAGACCTGACTTTAGTCCATCACAGGACATTAAAAGCTGTTGTGTCAGGAAGCAGCAGGTGTGACAGATTCATGATGACATCATCAATCAGAACCACAGTGACTCTGTCAGCACCTTGTTGTCCCCCCACAGTCTGATCACCCACGGCTTCGGCACGCCGGCGGTCTGCGCGGCCCTCAGCACCTTCCAGACGGTCCTGAGCGAGATGCTCAACTACCTGGACAAAAACTCCAGTGGGAAAGTGGGCGGAGCCAACGAGCAACAGATCAACAACAGCTCAGAAAAGACGCAGCTCCGGAAAACTGCCGAGTCGCAGAATAAAGACGGGAAGTCGGAAAAGACTGAGTAGCCCCCACTCCACCTGGTCCCCGTGCCTTGAAGAGCTGAATTTAGTGTGTGTGTGTGTGTGTGTGTGTGTGTGTGTGTGTGTGTGTGTGTGTGTGTGTGTGTGNATTTCAGGCTTTGGAACATGTTGACGTGAATTTCCTACATTTTCTAAAAATGGTTAATTTTAGGTACTAGGGTCAGGGACAGGATGTCTAAAGTGAACAAAGGTAATTTCAGGCTTTGAAACGGTAGTTTTTGCACATTTTCTACACTTTCTGAAAATATGACAACAGATTTCGCCCCATCTCGTCAGTAACTGACGCGAGGGGGGTACCCGGCGCGTCAAAATCGGACGTAGAGGGAACCTTGGAAAAGCGTCAATATGTGACGAGTTGGGAGTGAGAATGGGTTGGGTGAGCAGCTGTCAGTCAGCACCTGTCTGAACCAATCACTGATCATCTGACTGATTTAAATACATCTTAACATTCATGAGGTACTTTACATTGACTGTTTATGGTTGAGTGTGGGCGTGTAGAGGGTAGAACCTGAGGAGGACCTTGGTCCAAACTCTGAGGCACAGCTGTGATCTTTGAAGGTGCAGAAACATGTGTACACACCGTTTGATAAATCTGAAGAGTTTTGGCATACGTTCACTTTTAGYATGGTTTCCACACAATCTTATATAAATCTGAGCCCAGATCTTTTCAGTAAAACTGAAAATTTTCCATTTACTGACCATTGCTGAAGAATCACTGCACAGCAGCAGGAAAGTAAGTTATCAGCTTGATAGTTTCAAATCAAAGGCTAGAATTTAAGGGACATTGGTTAGTGGACTTTATATGAGGTTTATAGCTAMAGGTTTAATGTGTAAGATAATACTGATACTCTGAAATATTGCAATATKTCATTTACTGATACTGTATGGATTCTCTAAAGCTTTTGGTTTGGTTTTTAATTAAGATTTAAAATATAAACTTTAATGCCAAAGGTTCATTTTTGTGTTGTAGTTTAGCCTCCGGCCTCTAGTTGGCAGCATACAGCCAGCCTTTTGGCTCCTCCACTCCTGAGGAACCAGATGCTAGCTCAAAGGTTAGCATTGTGAATAAGTGTTAGCACCATGTGCCAATGGCTGAATGTGAACGGTCAGTCATCACAAGATGGAAGCAGGCAGGCGTTTGTCTGGTGCCCCAATCCCAAGGGGGTCCCCATTGGGGTCCCCAGGGGACGGTACTGAAGTGGCCAAATGCAACAACCATA